AGCGGCGCCGGCGGCTCTTCTTCTGTTGTTGTTCGTCCACTGCTCACTCGGCAGTAAGTAAACACTTATATGCTAACGGTTTAGCAGCTTAGCTACTGCCCTAACTCCTGTTTGACCTGAGCGTTGTGTTTGTGTTTGTCGTGATTTATTTCAGGTCAGTAACAGTTCACAGCGATAACCATTGTAAGGATTGTTACAAAGGACACAACGTTAATGACACCGTTTACCGTTGGTTAATGTGTCCTACCGAGGTCATAAACGTTGACATGTGTGTTAAAGGAAAAGTATTTAACAATTCTCGCTTTTTGTTTATAAATACAAACTGCCTCTATTCTCCTGCAGGTGGTGCTATGAACGCAGTTGTAACGTGCTTTTATACATTAAATTCGTGCGTATTTATTTATTCTTATATACGTACACCCACCTTTAAGCACTGTTAAATGTTTACTATTTGTATTATGAGTATAAGTATTATACCATAAGACTGTACTCAACAAGAAAAAACGATTTGCTTTATTTTTATTATTAAACGTTTTCTTTGAATCAGTTTTTGAAGAAATATTTTATTAGGCACCGTCAAACAATTAACATTTGTGTCTAATTAATGAAGGGCTAGTTGTATTAAGCATTAATTAAGCATATTTAATTGTGTTTAATTGTGATCGTAGTAAATCAAGATTAATCGAGATAAATCAACCCATATCAATAATTCCATCACTTAGTTTAGTCATAAATAAAAACAGTGAGAAACACTGACCTCTATCTGATTTTATTGGTCTGATCACGATTAATCATGATTAGTTCAAAATTATGCCGTAAGTTCTAATAAAACACAAAAGAAGAAATGTGCGACGTCACGAGTGACTGTAAGCAACTCACACTAAAATGTATGACATCCTAACTAACTGGAGTTCTTTGACGTTCTACTGTCTCTCCAGACAATTTCACTTCATTTATTTTATATTTTTAGTCTCACTATCACCTCAAGAGGCCAACCAGTTCCTCAGCAGACACAGAAGGGCTAACCAAATGTTCGAGGAGACAAAAAAGGGTCACTTGGAAAGGGAATGTGTGGAGGAGAGATGTTCCAAAGAAGAGGCCAGAGAAGTGTTTGAAAATGACCCTGAGACTGTGAGTACTTCAAGAAGACGTTTTCTTATAATACCATTTTTGCTGTGTCGCTTTTTTTAACTCTTAAAAACTGATATATATAAAAACTGAAACTGATATATCTGATATGCTGATATTGTCCAAACACAATTCCCGATTCTGATATCAATCAATACCGATATAGCGGGGCAGTGGTGGCCTGGTGGTTAAGGAAGTTGAGAGCCACCTGCTCACTGAGGTGATGGGTTAAAGCAGTGTCCTGGTTTTTAAAATTGATTAATAAAATGAGCTGCTCTGCTGCCATCTAGTGACTGCATTGCAGTATCGGGTTTTATTATCGTAAGAAAAACTGATCACGATTTCTACAGATATTATGCAATTATGCTAATATAGAGCTGATAATATCGCACATCCCACATAAAAACTAACAATGCTTTTGACCCCCCCTTTCCCCACACTTTAAAACCACTGACGTGATTCACTTTAGAACCAGAAATGCTTTGAAGGATTTCATCACTTTCTTTGAATCCATTTTATATTTGTCATAGCTGTCGGTTTGGGCTGTTAGTTTTATCATTATGTGCATATTGAGTGGAGAGTGATGACAGCAATGTGACACAAGGTGAGTGATTCACTGTTTGGTCTGTTGCTGTTCACGCTCCAATAAGTCTGGCTGTTGATAACGATCAGTGGGCTTCGTATGCCGGTGTGAAGACTGGCTGTTTGTTGCAGTGACAGACAGTGAATCAGTGTGACTAAGCCTTTATAGAACACTGAATGAGTGAAGTGATGCTCCTGGACAAACTACGGCTGCTGGACATGTTCATATGAAATGTGTCCACACAAGTGAGAAGACAATGTCCTTTGTAAAGACACAGCCAGTGTGAAAAGTCAGTTTGTTCACTGTGGAACAAGCTTGGACTATACATCAGCCGGGTGGAGCTTCTGTTTCATGTTGGTCAGTGATGGAAAAACTGCTGACAAGGTCTGTTGCATTGGCTTCTGTAGACCAGACCAGCTGGAAGCTCCAAAAAAGTTTTTAAATTTGGACTCAGATGAGTTCTGCTTTTCCTCCTGTTCCTGCCAAATACGGGAAAACACCTGCATCTCATCATCTTTATCTCTGAACGCCTGAACCCCCCCTGCCCCTCAAACTCCCACGTTCACCTCCCCCCCACACACACACACACCAGAGCATGTGAGTGCCCAGACCAAACTCTCCTGAGTCCCAGTTGACCAGACAACTCAGGGAACTGTATAACCGTTTTATGTTCGGGAAATGTGTTTCAAGAGTTCCACGTACACTGACCACTCAGAGCGATCCCACCCACTCGGCGTAGTTTCCATTCTGAATTCAAACATGTACAGCTCAGCCTCTCCACTCTGCTCTGAGCTTACTGAATATTTACTACATGTGAATACGCAAACGTTGGTTTCCAAATTATGGGGCGGGTCCCTCACCAAGGCGGTTGTCTAGGTACAGTAGGGGGTCAAAGGATTTTCATGTTACATATGGTACCACTAGGGGGTGTAAAAAATATTGATACACGGAAATATTGCAATATTTTTTGATGACAGTTGGACTACAATTACATTATTAAAAAAAATCAATATATCACACTGCTAATAGTATCGCATTATATTGCAATATATCATATTATTGCCCTTGGATTGTGATAGGTATTGTATCGCCAGATTCTTGCCAATACCAATGCTATGAATATTTGTATGTAAAGTGTTAATGAAACAAAGAACCAGGGATGTCTCATAATAATGACCAACCAATATTAACTTAATTATGTATTATCGGTAAGAATCGTTATCGGTTTTTCCTCTGAAAATGAAAACTCGATAGTGCAATGCTTGGGTTTCGCCCAGATGATGCGACCTATAAATAGTCTTGAAGTAAAAGTAAAAGTGATAGTAAAACTATTATTTGTATTGTGCACAGTATTGCCATTGTGACACAGCACACCACTACACACAATGAAATGTGTACTGTCCCTTTAACTCAAACAGCAACATATATCGGCATTGGAAATGAAGTGTTTGGACAATATTGGCAGATCAGATATCTGCAAAAAAGTTAATATCGGACATCCTTTATTTTCTATTTTCTTTTGACACCACCCGTTGAGGCACGTACTGTATCTGCAGACTCATTCATAGCAGCACTGCTCATTCTAAAAAGCAGTGTCTCTGACTCTGCACATTTCTGCTGCTGCAGCTTCTGTATCTGCAGAGACTCAGAGCGCGGAGCTTGGTCCTGGCATCACGATTATTTCAGAGGGTGTTTTTTATTTTTTTCTCCTTCTCGTCTCTCTGTGACATCTGCACCAGGATAGATGGTTTAGAAGGAGATTGTCAAGATTAGGAACTTACTGCTAATAAACTCGTACCACGGCCTGTCTTTCCCAACACTGACCCAGAATTTAAGTTAGGATAACTGGGTTCAGGAGGATGGAGTGAAGGAGGTCATCGCTATCAGGAATATAGAGGATTCTTAAGAAGCCACTGGCAACGAGCCCTCATTCCTTTAACATTCACACGGAGATGCCAGAAGAAATGTGTAAAACCTTTTAGATGAGAGGCAGACGTTCAAGTCAAAGATGAAGGACTGTTTGTTTTTACCAATTTAAACAAAGGCAAAACTGAAGGTTTTTAGCGTGAAATGAAACCAAATGTTAAATGTCGTTTAGTCAAAACAGAAACAGAAAGTCATCACTGCTAAGTAACTGTCACTCTCATTTCTGATTTAGGAATACTTCTATCCAAAGTATGTGGGTGAGTAATATATATTTTAATTAAAATTATTATATTCGTCGTGGACCATTTTCTGACTATCTAACTACTGTTTTTTTTTCTTTTTGTAGCCTGCTTGGATAAATTTGGAGACACAGAAAAAAAGAAACTGGATCTGATCACCTGTGTTCACAGTAGGTGTTATTTTTTATTTTCAACTGTCACATGGGTGAGAATAGGCGACATCTAATGGTGAGCTTGTGTATTGCAATAATTAGAAGACTATGAAACCATTACTTTTTTTTACAGTTTGTAAATGTGGATTCTTCACATCTATGGAGTCCGGTGGTCAAAAACCAACGACTTTCTGTCTTGACGCCTCAAATATCTCTGTTGTAAACAACACAGAATTGATCCTGTGCTCCGTCCCAGTCAGTGGATGAGGAAAAATGTGTGGCACTGACAGAAATATACTCTCAATATACAATTTAAGGTTCATCTGTGAAGATTCTCATTCATCCAGGTCATGTTATCTAAAGAGTTTAGTTGTAAGAAACTGGACTTCTTCTTGGAGCTTGAAAGACGTTTCATTCCTCAACTGAGGAACTTCATTAGTTTCTGGTTGAACTACTAGGATTCCCTCTCACATCAACCAGAAACTGATGAAGTCCCTCAGTTGAGGAACGAAAAGTCTTGGTATTCGTTTGAAATCTTGAAAACTCTCGTGTTTGTTCATTCAGATGCATTCAATGACGTACATGTGACTCAAAAGCCTGACTGTGGGGCGGTAGGGAAGTTAAATATTTATATTTGTATTTCTATGTATTCTGTTGGTGTACCTGTAGTATTTCAGCAGCACATTGACTCTGTGGTCCACTGCATCAGCGTCACAGTGACAGAAAGGATGACGTAGGAAAAGTTCTGTTGTGAGTAGAATTCAAGATTTCTGCTGCATCAGGGTAGAGGAGACCACCGGCTTCACTGCTATTGGCTGACGAGTGTGGAGTGGGGGCAGGGAGGCGGATGGAGGAGGGAGGGAGGGAGGGTTCTATGACTCAGCTGCAGCATCACAACACTTAAAGATACACCGACCTTCTCTTTTCAGCGCAGAATAATTTATGACAGAATGACTTTCTGCTCTCACCTTGACCACGTTGTTGTCACGTGTGTCTGACGGAAGGAAGTAAAATATATATATATTTTCAATTGCTGTTGTAGCAGATGCAGGACAATCAGGAAGGAAAATAACATTAAGTTAATTTGCTAAAAAAAAAAAATTAAAATAAATATGTAAAGATTTTATTTCAGTAGGTATTGTAGGTCGTAGATTAAAATAGGCCAGTGAGTGAGCAGAGTGTGTGGAGGGTGAGGAACACCTAATTGTGCACTGGTACTGATTTTTCTAAGAACTAGGGAACTCAAGGACTCAGCTCTGCAGTAGCTGTGGAGGAAAGAAAAAGTTCTGACTCATCCTCATTATGAATTATGAAAAAAAAACAGTGCAAAAAAAATAATAGAACAGACTGAAAAAAGGTTTGGTGCAGATTGAACTCAAGTCAGCAGCAGAGGATGGTAATTTCTTTCTGCTTTTTTCCTGTTTTGCTCGTTTTTCTTTTCTCAT